GTCCACCTCCGATTGATTCCTTCAACTCCAAAAACAACAATGCGTTTTCTTCCCGTTAAACTCATTAAATCCACACTCTTAGTCCTAGTCAACTGTAATCCACAGCCTTTCGCTCCCCTTTCCATTTGCTCAGAACCTGTCCCACCAAGAAAATGAATAACGGCCAACCACATTGTAGTTCAATAGTGATCACTTGTTTAAGAAGTATAATAATATCTAAAAATTTTACATTTAAATTTTAATAATTTGATTTTTTATTTCCTAATTGTATTAGTTAAAAAATGAATGTATTTAACAAAGAATTTTAACACATGTATATTTGTTTTAATTTTTTTTTATTTTGTTAATATCGTATATAGTTGACATTGTGAATTTAATGAATGTTAGGGAAAAGAAAGTTTAAACACCGAACAAACACGTAGAAAATACACGTGTTTTGTCTTATCATCATCAATGACGGAGTCAGATTTATGAGGAGAGACCTAATCTTATTGATATTTAAATTAAATTTGTGTCTTTTATTAAAAAATGTGTTTTAAATTAATATTTTTTAATTTATTTAGTTGAATTAATTTAACTTTTACATAAAGTTTAATTTGTTACTTTTATATAATAAATAAATAACCATTAAAGAAGTTTTTTCTCCTAAATATAGTATTTATTGAATACATAAAAATATATGAAGGGTTCTTTAATACATAAATCATTTTAGTCGGATAATTAATTAAATAAAGACTAATTTTTAATTTTTCAATACCCATAATTACATTAATAACATGTATCTTAAAAAGTACATATTCTTCCATCAACTTTAATTGTTCTACATTTTAATTTAGAACATTTAAATTTAAGCTTTATTTAGTATAGTTTTGATTTTTGGTTTTTGGTTTTTATTTTTTATATATATTTAGTAATTGGTACTATATTTAAATTAAATTTACTAAATTCAAATTTTTGTAATAAATTCAAATTTTTGTAATAAATTTTGATTTCCAAACGTGGTAATCATTACTAAATATATATAAAATGAAAATTTAAGAATATTGAGTTTGGTGGGGAGGGATTTAGGACAAAATGAGATTTATCATCTTTTGTGTAATTCATCATTATTAAATGTACAAAAAAATAAAAATTTAAAACTCAAAATTAAAATCATATTAACATATAGTTTTAGTTGTCTATTTTTTTGTTTTTTATTTTATTTTATTTTTTTGAACATTGGAGAATTTGGGAGAGAAGAATTTTTTTTTCAAATCGTTAATGAAAATTGAACTATCGTCTAACTACACCCAAGTATTTAAGACTTGATAATGAACCATGATTCGAAAACTCAGTTCGTCTATTTTTTTATTTGAATATGTTATTTAATATAGTTATTATTATTTTATCATTGTTTTGATAGCTCTTGCACATATATATTTATCGATAAAGTGCACATCAATCCTGCCTCTGAAAGAAAAATTGGAGTCCCAACCAAAACGACGTCATTTCCTTAATCCCCAGCTCCTACTCGTCCCTACTGCAATCATCTCCATCTCCATCACCTCCCATCTCCATCGACAACTCCAATTCCTTCAATTTTTCAAATGCAATCCCACGCCATCGACTTAATACCCAGCACCCAGTATTTTCACCCCATTCTGCCGCTGCAATTCATCATCTCCGTCGACGGTAACCCTTGCTTCTTCGAAGGACGATAAGTGCTTTGTTTTCTTATTAAGCTCTATCTACCAAAAAAAGTCAGAAAAAATCTTACTCCTAGATTAAGAGAACATAACAAAACGACGCAAAAAGAAAGGGCAAAAAGAAGCAAGGAAAATGTCGTCTTCTTCTGAGGAAAGCTTGAAGCAGCAATTGGAGGAGTTGCAGAAGTAGCTCGAGAAGAAACAATAGTTTGAGGAAGCAATTTTCTCCATCAATTCCTTCCTTCAAAACCATTTGTCCTCCGCTTCTCCCTCTCTTCGCAAATCGACATGCTATTTTGATCCCCCTCTTTTAATTTGGAATTTCTTTCGATCTCCATTTGGTTTTTTTTTTTTTTTTTGAATTGAAGTTAGAGATTTCCATTTGGTTGAGTTCATCAGTTTCAGGCATTTGATTGATTTGAGCTTTGTTGTGGTAGTTTTATACGGTTGTATGCTGAGTTGCGATGACTTTTGGCTTCTAGCTTGTTGGATTGCGACTGTTCTGTTCTGTTAGTTGTTATTGAAGGAATTGGAGGAGTCGATCGAGATGGAGACACACATGATTGCAAAAGGGTCAAGAGGAAGGAGGAATTGGGGATTAAGGAAACGACGTCGTTTTGATTGGGACTTTAATTTTTTTTTGGGAGGTAGGACTGACGTGCATTTTACCGTATATTTATTATTATTTTATCATTAAAATTTAATTTTTTAACTGTTAAGTACAATTCACTTAAAGTAGAATTATTCTCTAACAGCATGTTCCGGTTGAGGGGATGGGGATTGGAAGAAAGGGAGAAAAAAATTTTTTACTTGATTTTTTATTTTAATTAAATTACTTATTCAAATAAAAAATAAAAAAATATAATTCTTCTCTCATCGTTTCTTTTCTTTTCTTTTCTTTCTCTTGACTCAAGTATAAAATAAAATAAGGGAAATGTCTTTAATGAGATAAAAGGCTCCTCACCTTAGTAGGAGGCGTACAATTAATCCCCACCCCCTCATGCCACGCAGTCCAAGTAGTGTCCAATTACCTGACCAATAGAGAGAGAGAGAAAGAGAGAGACACCTATATCATGTTATTGTTCTTGCCTTCTATTACCCCTACGTCAAATTGTACTATGTACACTTTCCACCATAACACATAAATAGCTAGCTGCTACAGACTGGAAATTAACTAAAGTCTCTATACTGATTCTTCTTAATATGTTTTTAATTCGATCACCAGCAAATAATTTCATATATGATATAATATGTATTAGTCTTAATTTTTTT